TTTAAGAGCCATTGCTTTGACCACTTTCGTTTTGGTTTCCTCCTTTTAATATACAGGCATACTGCCGTAGCTAGTACCAATTCTTCGTCCATCGCAAACACCACGCACTTCACAGAGGGACAACAAACCGCGACTGGCGTGACGCGACCGTGAATGTAGTACCTCTTTGGACGACATCCGTTTGGACGTCATCCATCTGGAGCGATCGTGAATGGCGGCCTTAACACGAACCAGTTGCGGTGTTGAACGTTTTCGTGGAAAAGGGAGGAATGTCGGCGACAGGGGGGCAACGCCCTAGCGCAAGCCGGCAAAGAGCTGTCGACTGTTTCTCCCTTCCAAGGAGGGAACGCGCCTTTTTGCAGAAACAGCGAATCTCTCTCGCGGGGTCAACCATCAGCTTCTCAAGAAACTCTGCGCCTCTAATAGAACACCGAGGACTCAATACAGCATTCACGACAAGCCGCCTCCGGACCATGTTCCAAGCCAGCTGAGTCCAATCCACACCCTCCCAGTTATTATGCCTAGTTATGGAAAACGCCATGAACATGTATGGGGGGAGTGGAGGTACAGCTCCACGCATCTGTCTTCGGCACGATCAGCTTCATGCTGTCGGAACCCACTGGAGGCACATTTAAGACAGCGCCGTCCTCGCAGAGGGTTTTCATGGTTTTCCTCAGTCCCTCCAAATAAATACGATGACAGCGGCTTGCGACGGATGGGCGTGCAGAAATCGTCATAAGAAAGAAAAGAACGAGTGCATTACTCTAGAGCGACGACGTTTCGAACACTACAAACCGGAAGTGAAGTTCCTTTGCCGCCGAATGTCTCCAACAGCGACACTAGTTGATACGGTGTGGTACACACGTGCATTCAGTTCACGCCGCGTGTGCTGTGGAAGACAAACTCAAGGTGCACCCGAAGAAGTTCTCTGTAGCCAAAGGCAGAACGTCCATAGAGAATGTTCGGAATTTCAGGAAGCTGCAATGCCACGCCTGAGAGGGCCTCGTCCACACACATTTCAATGACGACAAGTTCCCTCTTCGTCGCAAGTGTGTGAACTCTGAGGCGAGCTCCGAGTTCACACACTTGCGACGCGCGCTTTGAAAAAGAGCGAGTTACTTTCACTGGACCTTGGGGTCGTCAGGCCCCAGCGTCGGACACCGCTTCTTTCCCGGGACGGACGACCGCAGTTCGAGTCCCAGCAAGGACCTCCGTTTCTTTCCGCACGAGATCCTTATCTCAGCACCGGCGTGAGTGCGTGCTTACTGTACGCAATTAAACGACGGAGCCCTGACCCCAGCGATCAGGGTGATCAACTAGTCTCTAATTATCACGAAACGTCCTTGTGGCTGCCCACGCACGCGCAGTGACCGTTCTCCGCATTCGCTTCTGGCCCGCCACTGCTTCATTGTCGACAACTTCAAAATCAGGTTCCATTTTGTGTCCGGTTGACGCCTGCCTCAGTAATCGGTGTCCTCAATCAGCTTTGCTTTTGGCAAACGGATTGGTCGCGGCCTCCAATGTCGCCTGACTTCTCGTCACAGGACATCGTGAATGAGGCAGACGCAAGGCGTGGACCATCTCCAGACGTCTGAAGGACGC